ATAACTTTCACAAAAACCTGTAATATGTTGTGGGCAATTTTCACCCAAGTCGTCATTCGAGGAGACGTCCGACCAGTCGTCCGGTGATGTTGTATTACCTGTAACTCCAACAGTTCTGAACAATAAATTGATAAAAACTACAGTCATCTTTAATTTGATGAAAACTGTAACATATCTTGAATTTGATATTGGTTTGGTAAAACTATTGGAGCAACAAAAATGAACTTTTTTTTAATCAAATTCAAATTTGATGAAATAAAAAGTGCTAAATTTGAGATAGTCTAACAAATTTTTAAAATAAGTCTCAAAACTCAATTTTCTCTCTTCTCTTTCCTTTGCCTTTTTTTATTAGTATTAATAAATTAATAAATCATTTTTTTTCTCTCCTTTCCTATTCTTACATTCTATACATCAATCAATCAAATTTTCTTTCACATCTATCTTTTCAACTAAAAAAATTACAAATTATCCCAAAAACTATTTTCAAACTTATAATCAAACAAATTTTTAACTTTCAAAACTCTTTTCAACAACTTATTTTTCGAAATATAATTTAAAACTCAAAACTCATTTCAAAAACTAAACCAAACGGAGCCTTAATTGTCATCATCTGCCTTAGAGGCTCAAAAATAGGACAAAACTAAAAAAGACTATAGGGGCCATGACCCTTCTGTTTCTGTGGAAAATACTGTTTGGCACAGAACTTGAAAATATATATATATATATATTATTTTATACATAAAATGTCCCATAGTATAAAAAATATACCCTATTATAAAAAAAAATATATATTTCATTCTTCTCCTATTTTGCATTCTCTTTCTATTTTGCATTAAAAAAAATTTATTCATCCTATTAGAAATTGTTTCTGTAGTATTTAATTTTTTTCTTCTATACATATATATAATTTATATATCATATTATACATACTTGCATATTTGTGTATTGATAAAAAAAAATTAATTTTCTTTGGACCACTCTAATAATGAAATCTTAATTTCATCCCTACTCAAACGTATGCTTACTTTTTGTTACATGGGAATTGTCAATGTCTAGGTGGGATAACAACAGATCTTATATATTCTCCGTTTCAAAATATTAGTCTTTTATTCTATTTTTTATTGTTCCAAAATATTAGTCTCTTTTCAAAAATCAAAAACTAAAATAATATGAATTTCTTATTTTGGCTTTCTTTTAAATTTATTAACAACACAAAATATACAATTATGACAATTGATATTTCAAAAAAAAAAGTACTATTAAAAGGTAATTTTAAAAAATTAATATTTTTAAAATATAATAATTGTATTATAAAAAAAAGTTAGATTCTCCCAAATGAACTATTATTTTGAGAGAGAGAGAGAGAGAGTAATTCATTCTATAAATTTAGGTTTTATTTGGAAAGATGATTGGATTTTTTTTTATAGTTGAATGTAATGTTTGTGAGAAAAAAAATAAAATAATTATGACTTTGACGTGACATTTTATCTTATTGACTATTTTAATCTATTTTATCTTTTTGTAGTTTTTAAAAAAAAATAACCTAAAATCCACTTGTCAAACAGGGCCTTAGACAAACAGAAAGAATTAAAGAAATAGACGCAAAGAGAATATAAAAACGTTAGTCAAAAACGCTTTATTTCGGACAAAACAATGAAGGAGTCCTAATTGTACATGGAATTTGCAAAAGACAAAGGTTTGTCAAAACAGACCAAGCCAAGCCACCTACTCTACCAATAGTTAGGGTATGTATTATTAGGTAGCCAACTACTTGGGCACAAAACCTCCCATTCAAATTAACTTCCTTGAATTCTACCATGGATTACACACCTTTGAACATTATCCCAAGGTTACTACTAAATAACATTATTCACTATTCTATATAAACACCATGAAAATGCTTAAGTTTCAACCAAATTCAAATCCACACGTACACACAAATACACAAGAGAGAGAGAGAGAGAGAGATGGCCGCTGTGCTCCAGTGCATCTTTGATGGAAGGATATTAACTTACAACACGGAGATTGAGAGGAGGCCATACCATCGAAACTGCAGCTGTATGCTGCACAAGTCAAGAGATGACTACTCCAATGCCTGTTGTTCTCATTGCAAGAATATTTACTTCACCAAGAAAAGATCATGGAGTGAGAGCTCCTTATCTGTAGAATGTTCGAATATCTCTTCTTCTCATTCTTTTATCAAGGGATCTTCAGTTAGTAATAGAGTGCATTGAAACAGAGTTCTAGAAATGAAGATGACAAAGATTGAAAGAAGAATTGTTCAGCTGAGTTATTATTAAGCAAAAGGGCTATGTTTAAGTTATTTATTTATTTATTTATTTCTCTATTTCTGGTCTTCTAATGTCCTAATGTCGTCAATTAAGGAGATGATAAATGACTGAGAGCACAATGTTATTTCTGTCTCCATCTCTATAACTTCTGCTAAGTTTCCCAGCAAGTGTTGCATGTATAGGCAATCCTTTAAATCTAAGTACAATAGCGAATCCATGTCCTCAAATTTTAGGATTACAAGCACAAAATTTTAAAGGTCACTCTTTAACGGCACTTCGACGTAAAGGACTTTCTTTTTTTAGTTCAGAAATTCAATAACTAGGTAAAAATTTAAACTATTTCCCAATCTATGATAAAACGTGTTTAGCAGTAACAGTTTTAAAACGCATTTTAAATCATATACACATTTTTATAAGAGAATATATATAATTTTTTTTTCTTTTTCTAATGAGGTTCACCTAAATAAACACGTAAATTACTCTACAAAATCCCATTTTGAGTTTTGTTGAGTTTGGCAAGTTCACATATGCTCGAAGGGAACGTGTATACCTGGTTTTGTTAAAACTGGAATAAAAATAAATATGGATTCTTACGATTCTCAAAATAATAAATATAGGTTTTGGACATTTTTTTGATTATATAACATGCACGAATAATTAAGTTCATACAGGCAAAGACTTGTTCAATAATTCTCTAAACTTGTTGAGTATAATATTTATGTAAAAAATTAAATAATAAGATATTGACGGTTATATGTTTAAATCATATTTTTAATACAACAAAATAAATGATTATTCGTAAAATTATATTTGTGATTCATTTTTTTAAAACAAATATAATTTAAATATATAATTATCAATATTTGATCATTTTAATTTTTTTTTATATAAATATTTTACTCATTGAGTATTAAAAAGTAAATGACTCAAATTGCCAAAATCAATCCCCAAATAAATGCACAAAACCCAAATGTCATCTCCAAAAAACCAAAACAACCAATCACATTACTTTATCTACTAATTTACATTTCTTTTCATAAAAAAATTTAAAAAATTAACTAAATTAGCCACCATCCAAACACTTCCAAAAAAATGAATTTCAAAAAATGTAAACCTAATATCTAAGAGCATCTCCAACATATATATATATATATATATATATTTTCTCTCATCAAGTTTGAATAAAAATTTCATCGAATATTGAGTGTTTCAATAGAAAATTTACATTTTTATCAAAGAACTAGTCAATCAGGACGATGACCGAGTGGATGTTTAGCCGGTCGACTGATTTGACCAACACTTTTATGAGCAATTTTACAAGGAAAAGATTGTTTGAGAGAATGTTCGAAAGAACGTTCGATCCAATAATCACCTAAAAATTTGATAGAAGGATAAATTTCTTTAATTTAATAAAAAAAAAACTCTTTATCTTTTTACTTTTGAACTGATAAAGGCTTGCAAACAGTAACTCTCTCTACTTAGGCCAAGTTTGGGTACTTCCAAAAAAGTCAAAAAGTCAAAAAGTTACTCAAAAAGTTAAAAAGTTAACACTATTCACCAAAAGTCAACAATTACGGCTGCACAACTCCCAATCCTAATTTTCCCCTACAAACCAATTTTTACAATTTTTTAATACACATTTTTCCATAAAAAGTCAAAAAGTTAACCCAAACATCCATATTTTCTACCTAGCAAAAAGATCGGAAAAAGACAAAAAGTACACTTATTTAGTCTTTCCAAACTTGGCCTTAATATTAACTAATGAAAAGATTAAAACTCTCATTTTCAATATATTTTACCAAACTTAAATTTAGGCCTAGTTTGGGAAGACTAAATAAGTGCACTTTTTGACTTTTTATGAAATATGGATTGGGTTTGGGTTGGGTTTGAAGTGATGTGTTAGAGAAGTAATGTAACTTAAATAAGATGATGTGACTTAAATAAGATAGTGACTTTTTAACTTTTTATCTTTTTTCAATTATGTCAAACATGGCCTTAATGAAAAATTTGATAATGCGTTCGAGACGCTATAATTCGTCTCACACAAGTACGCACCACGTCCCTAGGCGCTTATCCATAAGTTGATCGCATCAGATCAGATCACACGTTGACCCCACCTCGTTCACTGAGTGGTACCAAAAAACACGAGTGAGGATCCTCTCCTTGCACCTTTCGTGTTTGCGACCGTCCTTGCAGGCTTTCGGGTCTATTTTTAGGCCCAATTTTGATAATTCGAACCGTTCATATTTTATAATTTATTCAGTATATCATACCTGTAAAAAATCAAGTTGATCGGATATCAGAAAGCATGTGTTCGGA